CCTTCCAGCTCTCGGAGCACCCCAAGCTGTGAGGCCGGATCGCCGACCCGCCCCTTTGTCCGACTCTGGGCGGTGCCCTAGGCTGGGGGCAGCCCTGGTTCTGGCCCTAGCGGTGGGTGAGCGGCGCAGGCGGAGCCTGGACCCTGGGCGGGCATTTGTGGCCACTTCGAGCAGTCGCGAACGCCCCTCCGGTCTTGCCCCAGGCTTGGCCCCAGCGGAGAACAGCGAGCTGTGGGAGGCCACATCTCAAGGGATGCTCAGGGCGACTGGGTAGAGGTGGGAGAAGGATCAGGAAAATGGCTGTTTTGAAGATGGAGGGCGTTCTTGCCCGGCCTTGGAAATCCAAGGTGGGGGTAGTCTGTAAAAGAAGAGATGGTAAATTAAGATTTTTATTTCTTTGCATACGGAACACTAAGGACTCGCTCCTTCCAGCCTTGATGCTAAAAATACCACGCTTTCTTTGTATCTCCTGCTGAGATTTGTTCCTCACCTTTATGATGAGGAGGTGGCTGAGGTGATTCTTGGCGGCATGGGAGACCTGAAGTACAGACAGGTATGCAGGGGGATCCACCCTGCTGGCATGCATCTCGTGATGAAAAGGCTGACCTTCCTAGCATCGGCCTCCCTACTTGTAAAGTGAAGCACAGGCACACTGCTGTTGCTTAAACTCATAGAGGGGACTGAGGATCAGGTAGTCTGCTCTGCCTGGCAATGCATAACAGGAATCTTACTAGGCTGGGGGCACAGTCACCGCACATCTGTAAGCCCAACTATTTGGGAGGTTGAGGCAGGAAGATCAAAAGTTAAAGGCCAGCCAGCCTGGGCGATTAAGTGAGATCCTGTCTCAAGGTAAAAAGGGCTGGGCATATAGCTTAATTGTAGAGCGTTTGCCTAGCATGTGGGAGAAGGACCTGGATTCAATTCCCAGCCCTACAAAAACAGAGAGAGAGAGAGAGAGAGAGAGAGAGAAACTTGAAATGATATCTATTCAGTTTATTCCAGTTATTGCTGTTTCTTTAAGGGATTGCAACTGTCTCTGTGACACCCCAGGTAGTTTAGGGACCTCTATGGGAACTTGACCCTCCATTTATTTTCAGCAGACAGTAAGTGCTTGATTGGGAGCCTGATGTGTGCTGGGCCCTCTTTTCATGCTGGGTATTCAGTGCTCTTGAAGTAGAGGGGTGAAAGCTAGAACGTAGTATAGCTATCATATATGGACAACCTAACAGGAAACAGAGAACTTGGAAGGAATCTCAAAAGGGATGTGGGCATATAGGAGGCTTTGGTAGAGATTGCTAGATTACTCTAAAAACCATTCTCACCCTTTCTTTTCATAATAGAATTTCTCAGCCTATCCTGCAATTATGAATAATCAAGTGACTCAGTTCCAGCCAGCAGGATGTAGGGGTGATCATGTGCAAATTTTAAATTGGCTTTAAAGGAAATAATGTGCTTTCCTCAGCCATTGTTCTTTCTTCCTCACTGGAATATATGGATATACTGTTGGAGCTCCAGTAACCATATGGAATCTGTAGTAGAAGCCATGTATTGAGGAAGTTATGGAAGAGTTAGAATAAATGTGGGTTCCTGATATTTAGGGAGTCACCACACCTACTCAGCTACCTACCTATTGACTTTTTATATATGTTTAATCTTCTATTTTCTGGTGCTTGTGACCACATTTAATTTTGACTTTTATTAGACTACAGAAGAGTTTGTTAAAATATAAATTACCCCAGAGCAGGTTTGTACAGTGATAGGAAAGATCTAGGAGAGATAGAAGCAGCAGTGACTCTGAAGAGCAGACTAAAGAAGATGGGATATGGGCACTGATGAAAAGGTCACCTCTGATGGAAGGAGACTGCCACAGTTATTAAGAAAAGGACACAGAGGCTGACATATTTCCAGTGAAGAAAAGATGACCATTCACATCTGATGATATTTGTGTAATCCTGGATGTGAAGGTCATGAGCATAGAACAAGAGGAAGGAGAGTGAAGACAACTTTGTGAACCATAGACTGAGTGATGTTGGAGGTTCTGCCAATCTGAGCAGCCTCTGGGACACATTTTTCTTTTTAGACAGGTTGAACACACTGCTGCAGATTCTTAAGAAGATGGGGATATGAGGCTGGGGTTATGACTCAGTAGTAGAGCTCTTGCCTAGCATGTGTGAGGCACTGGGTTTGAGTCTCAACACCACATAAAAGTAAATAAATTAAATTAAATTAAATTTTAAAGAGGGTGGGGAAGATCCCTCACAGAGTCAGCATTTCCTGCCCCACCTCACCCCACCCCATCCCCCAGCAGTTCTCACTGGACACTCACATCTGATACTCCTCTGCCATTCCCCATTTTGACAGCAACATGGGGTTGCTTCTGAGAGCAGCAGAGAACATCCATTCAGAATATGTTTTATTTCCTTTATTAAAAAATGAAAGAATTAGGATACAGACAGCCCCAACTTATAAAAGAATTGTATTGTAACTAGTAATTTCCTTTGCAAGCTAGTCCCTAGGACTGTAATTGCCAATAAAATAGCTGAATTAAAGTACTGACTACAAGCCTGGAGTATGGATTGTGGGAACAAGGAACAGTAAAGAAAGAAAGAAAGCAAAGAATTCAAGAGTTTCTTTTCCTGAAGCAAATATCAATTAAAGTTTAAGTGGAAGAACTTGGTTTTTGTCTTCCTCTGAATTCCTCCATAGTCCTTTGTCCTGAAGCTGCTCTTGCCCATCCTGGGCTGTACAACCATGTATGCACTGACAAGGGGCAGGCACAGGGGACCTTAAAGAGAAGTGAGATTTGGTGACAAACTTTCCTAATTCATAGCTTTTTCATCTTGTGCAAATCTGTATGACATCTATGAGTCTTAATGTTCTTACCTAAATTGTCAAGGTCTTAGTAATACCCATCTCACAAGCTCCTCGCACAAATTGGCTACAGGTGTAGGTCAGTGGCAAAGCACTTGCCTACCATGCTACCATGCACAGGGCCCTGAATTTGATTCCCCAGCACCTCCACCAAAAAAAAAAAAAAAATGAGAGAGAGGGAGGGAGGGAGGGAGGGAGGGAGGGAGGGAGGGAGAGAGAGAGAGAGAGAGAGAGAGAGAGAGAGAGAGAGAGAGGTGTCAAATGAAATAAAGTTTGTAAAACTGAAAAACAGTAGGTAAGCTGTGAAGAACTCTGTTACCCAGGAACGATTTCTTATTAAGGCCACACTGCCAAAGCTCTTCACAATAGTCAGGAAATAATTAGTTGGAAACAAGAGACCTCTACTTAAACCAATGTAGGAAAATGGGGAGGGAAGAGATTACCGGAAGGATATTCAGGTCACTCAGAATTGAAAGAAGAACCTGAAACCAAAGTTATTCTGGAAATTCATGGCTGATACTAGGGGCTTCCCAGACCAGGACCCCCTGCCTTTCTCTCCTACTTCTTGGAGTTTGCCATTTTAAAAGTATATGACTGTGAATAATTCTATACTCTAGCTTGATTTGGACAAGTTCCAAGAAAGATTTCTAATTGGTCCAACTCTTGTCATGTGCCCATTCCTGGACCAATCACTGTGGTGAGGGAGATGGGATACCATAATTGGGCCAGCCTGAGTCACATGCCCGTAGCTCAAGACCTATGTTAGAAGAAGGGATGGTGTGTGCAGGACCAACATCATAATTCCTGGCAGAGTCTTGTATAGCCGGTCCTAGGCAACCACTGAAAGGTTTTAGGCAGAATAATGACATTGACATGTTTGTGCTTTAGAAGATCCCTAAGACTGCAGCTAGAAGAGTGGGTTGAAAGGAGCAAGATTAAAGGGGGAGGGGAGGATTATAAAGGAAACTGTAGTAATAATTCAGTACAGATAAGGCAGAATGGAGAGAGGTGGACAGAGTCAGGATGCTTCCTGGATATAGAACTGAGGGTGAGGAGTTGAATGGGAAAATAAGGAAACAGGAGACATCATATTCTGGCTGAATGAACAGTGGTGCTATTCACTGAGACAAGGAACTCAGGGGTCCTTTGTATGTGTATATCTAATGAGAGTTGATGACTTAGACCTCTTCCATTCGAAGTGCCTCTGGACAGAAGGAATAAGTCCAATTTGAGATTGTATTCAGGAGATACATCTAAGCAAAAGCCAAAAAATTGCAGGTTTTGTATCAATTAGGAATTGTGTTTAGTCCTTATAACAGTGACCCAACAACATGCTTTACCCAAATGGGTTTTGTTGCTGATGGTAGCTACAGTTATTGAAAAAACTTCCATGACATACTGGGAAAAAGAGCAGGCTGATCAGTACCTCCACAATGTCATTCAGGTCCCAGGTCCACTCAGCTGGTCTGTTCTGGATCTCCTCAATGGCCAGGTTTCAGCCTCAGTCGACTTATAATCATAAAAGAAAAAAGTTATAAAGAGAGCTGTGCAATGGTTCAGGTGAAAATGAGGCAGAATGGAGAAAGGTGGATAGTCACCATAGTTTTCTAGGATGTAGAACTGAGCACTGTTTGGGAATTTGCCAGAAGGCATGAGAGAAAAACAATAGTGCGAAGGATTCAAGGATACTGGAAAGAAAGCAGAGGTGTTGTATCACAGGCCTTGGCTGGTAGGAAGGAGAAGATGGCAGTGGAGCTGGCAGGCCCTCAGTAAATGAGAAGATGATATGGTAACACAAGGCTATGGGTGTATTCATGAGAATGGGTGACCACGTGGAGCAAAGAAGTAAGTCAATGGCCCTTACTTAGAGTGAGAAAGTTAG